ACATGTTTCTAGAGTGATTCTAGAAATATGCATGATGGACTGGCAGCCCATCATAATCCTAGCAAGATATTTACCTCTGGAGTTGTTAGTCAGTGATTACATCGAGCCTATTTTGTATTTTAAATGTGACTCTAATCATGCTTGTAATTGATTATTTACTTTTATACAATAAATATGTAGCTTGCAAGGAAAAAGAACAATACATATATTTTTGTTATTCATTTGTTTGGCGTTCACGAACAGCCTATTTTGTCACCTGACTATATACGGTGATATGATGAAGATGAACGGAATAACGTGATAAATTAACACGTCTGCCACGTCATGTCTTTTCATACATGAGCGAAGCAATTGTGCCACAGGCCTGGCAAAAACCATTACAGTGCACAGAAAGCCAGAGGCGGGGAACACAGCTGTGAGATACCAATGTAAGTTTTCCAAACAGTTTATCAGACAGGTCCAAGGTTGTTGCCTCAATTTTGGGAAAATGAGTGAAACAAACAGATCCTTTTTTTGTACACGCAAGTGAAACCTTCCTCTAAGTAGGCCTGGAAATTATTCTCTTGATAAACTGATTAATCGGTCAACTATCCTATTAACAAGGAAATCTGTTTGTTTTTTTTTCAGGTTTCAACATGACAAATAGTCATGCAATCTACTTCAAACACACATTTTTGCTTTTCCTTTTAACCTCACTAATAAAACAGGGATTGTCTCCTTGTTAGTTTTTTTCTGCTTCACTTACCCCATCCCTCATCCAGTCCTTGAACCTTGATGATGTATCACTGGGGACCTAAGTAAGCTTCACAGTTGTGTGCATCACCATTGGGGTTTAGTCTTTTCCATGTTGCTGATCCTTTGATATTGCTCTCTTGCTCGCTATATAAATATCTCTTCTCATATGTGCAAAAGTTTTAGGAAGGTGTGAAAAAATGCTGTGAACAAAGAATGCTTTAAGAAATATAAATGATTGTTTATTGGCCCCAAATGTATTCTGCAGTAGGATGACAACTCCAAACAAACACCCAAAGCCATTAAGAACTATCTTCAGCATAAAGAAGAACAAGAAGTACTGGAAGTGATGGTACGGCCCCCACAGAGCCCTGATCTCATCATCGAGTGTGTCTGGGATTACATGAAGAGACAGAAGGATGCAAGGAAGCCTACATCCACAGAAGATCTGTGGTTAGTTCTCCAAGATGTTTGTAACAATCTACCAAACAAGTTTCTTCAAAAACTGTGTGCAAGTGTACCTAGAAGAATGCAAAGGGTGGTCACACCAAATATAGATTTGATGTAGATTTCTCTTTTGTTCCTTCACTGCGTTTTGTTGATTAATGAAAATAAATGATTAAAACTTCCATTTTTGAAAGCATTCTTTGTTTACAGCATTTTTCCCCTCACCTGCCTAAAACTTTAAATATCTAAAAAAATCCCTCTATATAATTTTTAACTCTTAGATGTGGTATTAATGTGACAGCACATAACTTTTCTCCCCCAAGAGAACAAATGATATTTACCAATACTAATAAAAAGTTACTGTTATTTACTTATATCATCTACTTTTACATACATTTTTATTCATCATAAATTTTTAAAAAAATCCATGAAATAGATTTTATCAACTGACAAACACACAAAATTAATAATCACAGCTTATATTTTAATAATAAGTGAACAGTGAGTTTATATTCTGTCAAAAAAAAGAAAGAAAGGAAAAAAGAAAGATGTCTTTATACAGCAATGATACAAGCTAATCACAAATAAAAGTGCAAATGATCAGTGGGAGTGAAGAGAACACTTACAAAATAAAGATTTTCTTCTGCTTTCAGACTTTAAAAGAAGACGAAAATTTGGCAGTTACAAAGTTTCATAATTAAGTTACTTTAAACAGTAAAATGATGAAATTTAAGTGTGTCCGGACCCATCAGGACAAGAAACATTGCCTTTAATAGATGAAATCCAGCCTTCAATTACATGTTTTCATGAAGTATGACTAAACAATAAAAACAATACACTACGTGTCCAGAAAAACCCATTTCCCCTGCATCACAAAGATCATTGATGCCAAATGCTCAAAATTTAACACTAAATTATTGGCCGTTAAGTCAGTGTAACAGTGTTTTAGTTTTGTTAATAAGAGTAAAAATAAATAACAACATGGCACACACCGGTGGGAAAAATTACTAGGCCCGAAAATGTGAAATAATGTGGTTGACACATAGCACCTGAACAGTCTAAATAAAATCACCCAAACAAATAAAATAAACATGTCTTGACTTCAGGTTAACTGAAGACAGTCGAATAAATAGACAAATCTACAGATTGTCACATAAGATCAGCCAAAAAAAAATAAAAAAAATTTGAAATGTCATCTTCAAACATAAAATGACCCTGTACAATCATGATTCTAAATATTTGACAATCAGAAAAGAAGAGAAACCTTTGGACATTTAAAAGCTGAACAGTTCACAGAACATTACAGTGAATTTCCAGCTCCGTGGTTTTACCGTTGGACTGTACTAGAGTGGATTTACACAGTTCTCAATTTCAAATGATCCCATTTATCTTAGACTGGACACTTGCTCAGCCCCTCAATTCATCCTGTGTCTGAATCAAACCCTCTAAATTGGCTGTCCCTGACACACACGCAGCATGTGGGTGGGGCCTCTGTGGTCACAGCCAGAGCCCTGTACCTAAGATGACCATATTTGGGGTATCCACCCTGATTGACATCATTCATTTAAATTTGAGGAGAACACCCCCCCCCCCTTCCAAAAAAAAAAAAAGACTTGAAACTTGCTGTTTACAGCAATCTGAAGCCTGGGGTTTTGAATTACAGGGATTATTTCTATGTTGCTGATGTTTATTATGAGCATTCATCATCTGAACTGTAGACATATCACAGGGGAAACTGGAAAGCAGAAAAACAGGTTGAGCAGTAAGTGAATTACCCCACTGTGACATACATTCGTGGAAACATGAAATATGAGAGCGAATGTCAGTCAGCACTCCTGGTTTTACAGAACATTAGAAGGAGTGAGATGAAAACGTGTTCTGTAAATTTAAATGAGCTGACCTTCAACTGTTGTTCAGTTCAGCTCTGTTCATAAATAAGTACACGACAGAAAGCCTCATCATTTACCTGTCTGAGTATCACAATCACATTTACATTCACAACAATGTGCAAAAAGTAGCCGTTATACTCAGATTTAATAAATAATTATGTTTTTGTGTACCATCCTTTACCCAAGTTAACAGCTTGAAAAGGTTTGTCCAAAGAGAATTAAAGTTAAAGTTCTTCAGTCCAAATGACAATTTGGTTTTCCAGTAATTCCATCATTTTAAAAAAAATATTAGTTTACATGTATCATGTTGAATGAATCGAAGACAATTGTATATTAACTAAATGTTCAATATTATCCACATTTACATGGATACATCTGAAAATGCTGTTTGCACATCAAAGGTTTCCATCCAAGAAAAGCATTATAAACATATACTGCAGCATATGTTTATAGTACTTCAGTATATTAATGGAAGTTATTGAGGAGGAAACAAAACAATTTAATTTAACAAACAAAACAAAAACCCAAGTTTGAAATCAGGCAGGTCTGCACTTTTTCCTTCTGCCTAGAATTCCCTGCTGATATTTTTTAATAAAAGAAATTATTAAAGAGACTTAGAACTGCAGCATTGTTACTTAAGTGTGGACTGAAGCCAAAACTGAAGACACATCTTTGTTTTCAGATGTACCCATGTTATGAAAAACATCCCTGTGTAGCTGCATCTCCACCTGAGTCTTTAACCCACTCCGTGGATTAAACCTTGTACTCAGATTACCAGTGTGCAGACAAAAAATAAAACTGAAGTGCAAAAATCAGTACTCTGTACACTCAGTGCAGTGATGAGCTGTCAGAACAGGACTGGAAGAATATAATTACAGAATATCATCTCTAACAGGTGATTGATGTACAGTGTAAGGCTGTAACAGCACAACGCTCCAGGACTCCAGGAAAACCTATTTTAAAGTGACCTCTGAAAGCAGCACGTCACACTTAGACGTACAAAGACGCAAAGTGAAACGGCTCACTACAAACTCTGGAGCACAAACTGGAAAAGAAATTAAATGCTACAGCAGTTTGAGGACAGGTAAAACCTACCAACTCCTCCTCGGAAAACTTTATTCACCATTAGTCACTTTAAAAACTGTGCACAGGACGACAGCATTTACACTGGAAGACTGTCTGTTTTACTTAGGATTTTAAAGTCAGGCTCAATTAAGGAGAACTCGGTGGGTACCATGTGCCCCGTTTGTTTGATTAGCATCATTAGAGTACACAGAGGCCCAGGCTTAAGCAGGGCACTTAAACAGCTGCCTTCATAAAAATTGTGTTACGCAGTTAACAAATTGTTCCAATTAAACTACAAGATGCATAAAATTATGATCCTAATGCTCCTATGGAAGAGTGCTGCCCAAAGGTGTTTGAAAGAGACAAGCAAGCATGATAGAGAAGAGTTGAGATGCTGAGACAAAGTAAAGCGCTCTCAGGGCCAGATTATTAAGCACATGTAATTAAAGGGCAGGAAAGGAGGACTACTGTACGTAGTGCAAATGCAGCCTAAAAAAACAAACAAACAAAAAAACAAAACCCAGACATTTCTGCAGCTGCAATGATTCAGTACCAGTGGACACCGTGTGCTGGTACTGAATCAAAACTAGAGGAGACTGGGTGATGCAATTAGAAGAAGAAACAGATTCACAAAATCCAATCAGGTTTTTTTTTTAGCATTTGAGAGAAAGATGGCACAGCTATGTGGATGAGTATGACCAACGTGGTGCTGGTTTATGAAATATTAGTCAAATATAACCTAAAGAGCACGGCTGCCTATAACAGTGCTGTTAAAGGATTTTGATAAATTAAGCAAAAAATAAATAAATAAAAAAACTGAATTTGACCAGCACCCAGACACAAAATGAGGAAGAAAAAAATGTTTATTTTAAATAAAATTTAAACAAGCAGTTAAAAATAAATGTAAATATGTCTGGTCTGTTTTACATGGGTGGAGTTCAGAGAATGTGATTTACAAATGTGCACGTCACCGAGTAATCTACATCAACTACAGTGACTTATTACAAAGACCAAGTGCAAGTTCGGGACGGGACGCAATTTGGCACAGGAACTGAGGTTAAAAGAGGAACGATAAGGCCTTGTATGTACAGGAACATGCCTCAGGTAAAATACATCCACCTCTGAGTGTGAATGTGTCTGTACATGCATTTACACTATGTACTGATTGTTCTCTTGTTTGTGTGGCAGCAAGCTCTCTGCCCACCACCGACTACATCCTAATACTGATTCAGATGGATGTGAACAGAACTGAAAAAAAAATAAACAAAACAACCTTTTTGTTAAGGATTGGCTGCTGCTTTGAATCAAGTACTTCTTAATAAGAGCTGATGTGCTATTTACTCTTCACAGGCTCAGATGGTTCAGATTTCTGACTGTAAAACAACAAAACAGAACAAATGAATAACAAAAACCTTTAGATGAACAAAAAGCTCACTGGAAGAGCCATCATCTCTCTGTAACAGTGTCAACTCTGTTGTACCTTCATCTCTCTTATTACTGTGACTACCAGTAACAGTCACTTTGTCACGTGTACCACTCATTCGCGCCATTCCTCTGTTCAGCAGTTAAAATGAGATTTTCTGAGCAAATTTCATGTGCCATCTTTCCCCTAAAACAAAGCTTTCTACACATTCTTTTTAAAATCTAACACCCTTTTTCCTCCGTACGTGCGTCAGCTGTCTCTAAGAATCCTGAGCAAATAATTAGAAATTTTCACTCTGTCCTCGGAAAGCCCAAGTTTAAAAATCCAGTCATGCAATCCACACTATTTCTCATCAGCTGAGAAAAACAAAACAAAACACATTGTCCTCTAAGCTTTCCCTCTTTTGCTAGAACTACGCATTTAGCTGCCTGAGGAGTGTGAAATGGTGAGCCAAATCATTAACCACAGCAGTCTTTAAAACAGAATCAGTAACAATAAAAATAAATAAAAAAAAAAACAAAAAAAACCCACAAACAAACAAAAAAACAACCTTGAAATGAAACTGGTTTTCGTTCAAAGGGAGTGTGAATATAGATTTGCCAAATCGCCTGGTGCCATGCTCATGCCCCACTTATCTCTGACACAGTCCAACCGACCCACACAGTCGCACTACCGGCTCTTGTTAAAATGGGAGCTTCTTCAGCTGCTCAAAGGTGATGAAGAACTGAGAAGTATGTTAAGGAAACAGACAGTGGATTGGCAGATACAGATACAGATACTTCAATGCATTTACCTTGCAAAAAAAGTTGGTATTCAAATTGCACCAATGAAAACACTGACAGAGAGCATCATTGCCAGCACTACGATGGTTCATGGGGTAGGCTGAACAAACTCACCAAGTGCATTACTTGATTGCCATACAAGTCAATTTAATTTGTACTGTGCAAAAGTCTCAAGCCTCCTTTAATTTCTTTATATTTTTCGTTCAAGGAGCCAGACTTTCTTTAAAAGTACAGCCAGTGGCCAGCCGTAAAAAAAAAAAAAAGAAGTTATTTAGCAATACAAAACAAACAAAAAGAAACATACTTCACTCATAAATATAAACTGATTAGTGTGTAATTATGTTCTCTAAGAAACTGATGCATTCTCATAAATGCATAAAATGAATCCAATAAAAATACATAGGAGTGGGCACTGGTTTTGAACAGTGGCTGAGATGGACATCATCCTTCTGCTTAATGGAGTAATGGAATGCAAAGGTCGAGGAGAGGAGAACTCATAGGCATTTATGTGACATGGAGGCAGTGAAATTAATTAAGTTGAGGATAAAATAAGCTTTCTATACATTTGAACCTTGAATACAGGAGGAGCGATGCGGTTTTCGTCCTGGTCGTGGAACACTGGACCAGCTCTTTATCCTCTCGAGGATACTCGAGGGCGCATGGGAGTTTGCCCAACCAGTCTACATGTGTTTTGTGGACTTGGAGAAGGCATTTGACCGTGTCCCTCGGGGGGTCCTGTGGAGGGTGCTCTGGCAGTATGGGGTGTCTGGCCCATTGCTATGGGCCATTCAGTCCTTATACGACCGTTGTAAGAGCTTGGTCTGCATAGCCGGCAATAAGTCTGACTCGTTCCTGGTGGGTGATGGGCTCCGCCAGGGCTGCCCTTTGTCGCCGATTCTGTTCATAATTTTTATGGACAGAATTTCTAGGTGTAGCAAGTGGCGGAAGGCTTTCACTTCAGTGGTCTCAGGATCTCATCTCTGCTTTTTGCAGATGATGTGGTTCTGTTGGCTTCATCAGGTGATGGCATCCAGCTCGCCTTGGAACGGTTTGCAGCCAAGTGTGAAGTTGTGGGAATGAGAATCAGCACCTCCAAATCTGAGGCCATGGTCCTCAGCCGGAAAAGGGTGGAGTGCCCACTCCGGGTCAGGGTCTCGTCCCTGACCTGGTGGGGTCTTGTTCACGAGTGACGGGAGAAGGGAGCCGGAGATCGACAGACGGATTGGTGTAGCGGTTGCAATGATGCGGACGCTGTACCGGTCTGTCGTGGTGAAGAGAGAGCTGAGTGTAAAAGCGAAGCTCTCAATTTACCGGTCGATCCACGTCCCTCCCCTCACCTATGGTCATGAGCTGTGGGTAGTGACCCAAAGAACGAGATCGCGAACACAAGCAGCGGAAATGGGCTTCCTCCGAAGGGTGGCTGGCCTCTCCCTTAGAGATAGGGTGATAAGTTCGGCCATTTGGGAGGGGCTCAGAGTAGAGCCACTGCTCCTCCACATCGAAAGGAGACAGTTGAGGTGGTTCGGGTATCTGAAAAGGATGCCTCCTGGGCGAGGTTTTCCAGGCATGTCCCACCGGGAAGAGGGCCCGGGGCAGACCCAGATCATGCTGGAGAGATTATATCTCTCAGCTGGCCTGGGAACGCCTGGGTGTTCCCCCAGATAAGCTGGAGGAGGTGACTATGGAGAGGGAGGTCTGGGCTTCTCTGCTTGGGCTGCTGCCCTTGCGACCCGGCCCCGGATAAGTGGAGAAAATGGATGGATGGACAAAATAAGAAGTGGCAGGCCTAAAAACTGGAAGTCATGTCCACTGGGATTTATAACTACCCTGGTATACTATAACACCATGATATAGCCCGAGTCTAATAGGGATGGCCAAATGCTAAATTTTAAAGTACTAGCAGTTTTTTTCCATATTATATATCTAGATTTACTATTTCTGATCCTATTCCAGGTCTTTTATGGAATTAATTATTTTTCTAAGAACTAGAAATGATCCAAGTTCAAGTTTTGTTTACTTTAAAGGATACAATGATGTTCCAAGGTCCCAGTCGTAGCCAGTTAGGCCAAAATCCCTTGTAGAGAGCAAAGAAGCCTTCATTCCTCCACGTCTGCATCAGTCCATCCAATGTTCCTTTGTAAATGGGGTTTCCAGACAAAACTCGCTGGTTCATCATTCGAGTTCTGACCACATCTACAGGATTGGAGGCCAGTGCCCCCGCCAAGCCACATGCAAAACTTGAACTGCAGAAAAACACAGAATGTAGATTAACTACAGCTGTTGCTACTGCACAGCTAACGACAGACTTTAAGAATAGTTTAAACTTACATGAAATGTGCTAAAATAGTGTCTCCCATGAGGCCGGAACGAAGGAGGTGCTTCTTTGTTATGTCATAGACAGGAAGTTCCACTCCGACAACAATAGCTGCTCGCTGTGCTGTGGGGATGACACCCTGAAGACGTGAAGGATGGAGAAAAAGAATCAGACCGTAACACACTTACAGTGCAACTCAGTGAACAGGGGCTGGGCATAGAAAAGTTGCTTTTAGGCTTTGTGCTAAACTGTGGATAGATTGGACCAGATTAATTTGTAAAGAAATCACGTGAAGAGCTAGACCAGACCTTACTGTAACTTATGGTCAAAAACACCTTGACCTAGCTATACAGCGAAATGCAGCACTCACTCTCCACAGCCCTCTGGTGCCCTCTGTCTGGTAGATGTTGATGAAGTTGGACATCATGCTGCCTTGGAGCAGGCTGCCCTGTGCCTGCATTCTGATCTAAAACAAATGGAAACACAAAACAGTTGCTAAACTTTTGGCTCATGGATTAGGTTTAAAAACAGAAAAAGGTTCAACTATAAAGTTACTAGTATTATGTTTCATGAGTGAGTATTTCTCAGCATATCAGTGTCACAACTGCTGTTTAATAAATAATAAAGCAGTGTTTTGATATTGACAGCACACACATTCCAATATCCTAGGGCTTACTGCCAACATTAGTAGTCACCTTGAGAACATCTGTAGGGTTGGCCAAAGAGGACGACAGGACTCCAGACACGACACCGCAGAAGACGTTGATGACCATCGTCTCATCTGTCACAAAATTACACAAATTGAGTCAAGGCAGAGCCAAAACCAACCAGCAAACTAGCAAATACTAGATCATCCTATAATTAACTATGAATTGATGTCTAAAGGGTTATTTCTAGAGATAACGTAAATTTTATGAACACTTAATTCTTGCTTTATGTATCAGTTTTGGTACACTATTGCATCTTCTCTGGGTCTAAACATCAGTGTAATTATTTAGAACAGCAACCGAGACAATTCGGTACAATTCTTATTATTCTTCTTAATGTCTGTAGATTACAGAACAAAGTGTTAATTTTGCAAGGATCCAGTTACTGCATAGTGTATACAGTTTTAAATATAAATACAATTTCTTTAATGCAAACTAACTTAAAGTGTTGACTTTTTCTGACATTAAAAAAAACATATTGGCATCATTTTAGGGCCTGTTTTGAAACATCTGTTGAGGAAGAAAAGTTCAATTGTTTTTGCACCTTGTACTTTCAACATCTCACATCAACGTCTGATCACAATGAGAAAAATCGACATATCAAAGTATCAACCCTTTTAAATATCTTACATCCATAAAAAAATGACAAATCAAGAGTAGAGCTCAACTGATATATCAGTCTCTCTCATTTCAGCATTAGTGTAAATGTTGATGTTGTTGTTCACACTTTTTTACATTTCTTATAATGCTGAAAATAATCCTCATGAAAATGTATAAATGGTATTATCACAGTTCAGTGTTTACAGCTGTTTCTAGACAGATATGAGAGTTTTCTTGCAGTCCAACAGTACTAGCCATTAAAGTCTGAGCATGCGCTAAAAAAAACTAAACCCAAAGTTGCCAAAAATAAATTTAAATTAAAAAAAGGAAATGGCCTGAAAACAACAACATAAAGCAGAATGGAGTAGGCAACACGGCTAAGCAGACAATGCATAGTCAAGTGACACCTTAATGGCAAGTTGCTAACTAACTTGTAAGATCTTTTGCTAGTAGGTGAGAACCTACCCAACCTCTGACTATTTTTCTCTTTAAATGCATACTACAGAATATTGTGTATCAACAGTAGCAAATGATACACTGGAATTATTTGAACTCCACAGAAATCATTATTAGCCTCAAAAAGAAACATTAGCCGTTAGCCTGTCTCTTAACTAGAGCCTGTCTGAAATGAAGTTCTCTTAATTTTGAGTAAAAGCTACAAAATTAGGATAGCTATTTCTGGAAGGTGGAAAGGTTAAAAATATGCTAAAAGGCACCAAGTTGAAATTACAGATTCCTATTCAGAGCTCTTATCAAGCACACAGTACTTCACAGTCAGTTTTAAGAGAAGAGAGAAGGAGAAAATCAAAGGCTTATCTAATTTTCTCATATTTTCTATAATCTACATTGTGCATACTGGCTTAAAAACATTCAGATGGTTGATCTCATTTGTAGTAACCAAATGTGTCTACACTGGATCAAGGAATAGAAATCTGACATTAGCAGTACAACAATGTAATCGCTGTGTTGCTTATTAAGGACATTTCCCTGTGATTTGTGGTCTCAAATAAGGTCAGTGCAAGTACAAGCTGGCAAGTGTGCTGACAAATGCCATCTAAATTCAATTTTATTGTATTTTATACTGACTTTTGTTATTTAGCATCAAACCACAACAACTATTGCCAAGGTGGCTGGGATGGTGCCTCCCCCCCCTCCCACTTATGTCTTTGGATGACAGTTACTTAAACTAAATTAGGCAGGTGCATAAATTTGGACACCCCAACAGAAAAATTACATCAATATTTAGTAGATCCTCCTTTTACAGAAATAACACCTCCAAACACTTCTTATAGCTTCCAATGAGAGTCTGGATTCTGGTTGAAGGTATTTTGGACCTTTTGTCTTTACAAAACATCTCCAGTTCAGTCGGGTTTGATGGTTTCAGAGCATGGACAGCCCGCTTTAAGTCCCACCATAGATTTTCAATAAGATTCAGGTCTGGGGACTGAGATGGCCATTCCAGAACATTGTACTTGTTCCTCCTGCATTTGTCTCCCATACAGCATCTCCTTGTGCAAAGTGCGCTGAATAGTTGAACGATGGACAGTGACACCATCTGCAGGAAGATGATGTTGTAGGTCTTTGGAGCTGGTGTGTGGGTTGACTATGACTGTTCTCACCATCCTTTCCCTCTGCTTATCTAAGATTTTCCTTGACCTGTCACTTCCAGCCTTAATTACAATTGTGGTCTTCCATTTCCTCACTATGTTCCTCACAATGGAAACTGACAGCTGAAATCTCCGAGATAGTTTTTTGTATACTTTCCCTAAACCATGATGTTGAACAATCTCTTTGAGAGTTGTTTTGAGGCTCCCATGTAGCCACTCTCAAGAGAAGATGCAATGAGGAGAAAAACTTGCAATTGGCCACCCTAAATACCCTTTCTCGTGACTGGCTTTACCTGTGTATGTAGGTCAAGGGTCAATGAGCTTACCAAACAAATTTTATGTTTCAATAATTAGTGCTAAAGGTATTCAAATCAAACAAACAACAAGGGTGCCCAAATTTATGCACCTGCCTAATTTAGTTTAAGTAACTATTGCACACTTTCTGTAAATCCTATAAACTTCATTTCACTTCTCAAATATCATTGTGTTTGTCTGCTATAAGATATATTTAAATGAAATTGCTGATCCAAACAACCAATGATTTATGAAGGAAAAACGTGAAAATTATCAGGGGTGCCCAAACTTTTGCATACCACAGTATATAAAAAGGAAGCCAATTTCAGTCTCAAACAACATCACTTTCCTTTTCTGGCAAAAAAAAATAAATTATGCAATTTTGTGCTGTGCACACTTAATATCAAATATATGTTTGACAAATGGATAAAAGCTTATCAGAGTGTCAGTATCAAAACAGCCTCTTTCATAGTTTCCTGCCTTTTCCATCCCCACTCATCTTTCTGTCCCTTCCTTCCTTCCTTACTGGACACACTTTGCCTGTTGTTTAGCTTGCAAATTACTGCCGGGATGTTAACTCACTCACTTCCAGATGGGTCAACATAGGTGTGGTATTGTCGCTCTATTCAGAGGAAATATGTTGGAAAAAAGAAATGTCCAACTTAACCTGGGTAAAATGTTGGGACCTTAGTGTGTTTGCATTTTCCCTTACATTGTTTACTTTATCAAGGCTGATTTTGATTTTTAACAAATAAAGGACATCCGCTCAGCTAAGGTGAATGTATTTTATTCATTTCCAGGGGCAAATTATCATATAACTGCTTTACTTTCAACCATTTCCAACAAACATACAAACATCATTAACCTCTTTTCATCCACTTAATCTCAAACAAGTGACAACACAACACCCAATATTTTGCAATCCAAACAAAGAAGAAAAGATTTGCAAGGGGTTTTTTCATGTTTGATGCACAAAACTAGCATTGATTGCAAACAGAAAGATAAAGAATGAGCATGAAAAAATGAAAAGCAAGAGAAGCACGGTCATGCACAATCAATTTTTGGTTCACTTGCCATGGAGACTTTTATAGTTATGAAACTGCACCAGCCCCAGATTTATCGAAGGCCAAAAGCATTTTAGAAGCCGAATTTTGTGTTAATTATTCCACACTACAATGTTAAATGACTCTGATATTCTGCTGTTTGGTTTGCTGTCCTAGAAATATGACTTGCATAGTAATAAAAAAAATAAATAAATAAAAAAATACTGGCTTTAAGTCAAATTGAGGTAAATCAGTGCACTGCAGCTTTGGTTGTGCTCCATTCCTTTTCAATGTCAGTATATCTTAATGATCAACTCAACACTTGGCAAGAAAGAAGAAATGGCTGTTGTGTCTCAGGGAGCCGTTAGAGAAGGACATTTATTGATATTCACTCTGGACTGTTTAACTGAGCTTCAAAATTCGCATTAAAGATCATGGCAGGCTTGTAAAGCGCTCGCTTTGTGTAGCAGAGTTTTTACCATTTAAAAAATAAATAAACAGCAATATTAATCTTTTCCCCTTTCTCCTGTCTAATTCCATCATGCTTCTAGTGCTAACACCACAAACCTCTGTTGCATCCGTGCCCGCACCACTAAATTAGATATTGTCAGACAGTGAATACTAGCGAAGAAGACGACGACGAAGAAGAAGGATCGTCAATAATAATGATGCTGTTGCTGGGAAAAAAATGATCAAATGTCTTAATGAGTGTAGTTGTAACACATTATCTTTGCCTTACTTGGTTCCCTGTTGCTGTGCATATGCAGAGCTGCCTACATTTTAACTGTGCTGATAAAGTCCAGCACAGAACCTGCGTGAGCAGAAAATAAGCAAAGGGAGTCTGTTTAAAAACAGTTTTTCTGGAGCATCTCTATTTCAACCTCATCTATGTTTGGCCTTTACCTTTGTGACAGATCCCTTTCCTCTCCTGTACTATATAAGCCAATAACATAGTATGTTTAAACCATTTGGAGTTCATTTTGTAAGCTTACTGATCCTCAAGATGCAATGCAATATTACTTCAAGTATTCCAACGGTGATTTGATTCCAGTTGGAAACACAAATCCCCTTTGGAGGGGTGTCAGAAAGGGCATCGGGCTCAAAACTCTGCCAGATCAAACCATGAGCTACTTGTTATGGTGAATCCTTGTAGAAAAGGAGCAGCCGAAATATCCATTTAGTCATCATTACTGGGTATGCTGAATGGAAGATGGTCCTTTAAAAAACAAAACAAAAAAAACAACAACAACAAAAAAGAAAACCCTTTACAGCAGGGGTGGGTAACATAAGAAGGGGGAACTGTTGTGGAGGGCTGCACCATAAACAGAACCCAGTTCAGCTTTTTAGCCTCCACAACAATCCCAGATTTAGACTTTTTGTTTTTATTTCACTTTATTTTCAGTTAGTTTACTTGTCTGTGTTCAGTTTTTAATCATTTGAAAATGTTTAGTTTTAGTTTTCTATTGTTTCAGTGGTAGTTTTAGACTTTCTCATTAGTACAGTTTGGAGGGTGTTTAGATATTTGGAGAAATTTAGAAAAAAAAAAAAATCACAACAGACATCACAATACAAATGCACCTCTGTGTAAAGCAGGGGTAGGCAACTCCAGGCCTCGAGGGCCAGTGTCCTGCAGGTTTTAGATATCACCCTGGGTCAACACACCTGAATCACATGATTAGTTCTTACCAGGCCTCTGGAGAACTACAAGACATGGTGAGGAGTTAATTTAGCCATTTGAATCAGCTGTGTTGGATCAAGGACACATCTAAAACCTGCAGGACACCGGCCCTCAAGGACTGGAGTTGCCCACCCCTGGTGTAAAGAGATGACCAAAGTGCCACATAACTGCTTGGGTTTTCTTTTTTTATTCCCCTCCCAAAAAGTCAAAGTTCTATTTATTGCACAGCCCAGTGTCTTTATATTAACACATTAACTAAAATGCTTTACATAGTTTTTCCATTTCATATGTTAAAGGGGTCAAAGATATGACTCTGAATAGCAGCATCAGTTAACCAGCTAAAATGCAAATGTAAGAAAATGACTCTCTGTCCGTTCTGTTTTTATTATGGAAGATCCAAGATAGCTTAAAAAGCATTTGCTTACTGTAATCTCTGGTTTTGGCTGAGCCCAAACTAAAATCTTACAAATCAAATGCATGTTAAAGGAGATTGTATCAGTTTACTGTGAGGACAGAATAATTGTTATTCTAAATTTTATGCCGTATTAAAACACCTACATGGTTGGCCAGTTGTCTGGTTTAGCTGATTAGAGTAAATGTGAGAATACTATCAAGTTTTCAGCTGGGTTCTGTGTAACTAACTAATGAAACCCTGTGAATTAAAGACAGTCTAAAATTTGCCTTTTAAGGAGAACTTAGTAAAAGGACACACAAAAAAAAAAAAAGGATATTAGAGTTAGAAATAGTGGTACCAACCTTCTGGCTGACTGACAAATAGCCTCTTCAGAGAATTGTAGGTTCCTATCTTGATTGTTCCGTAAGAAGCCTGTCTCAAAAGAGCCGGGGAAATTCTGTGAGGAGAAGATTAAAAAAAATGTTTGATTCAAGTCAGTTCCTAAAGCGAGTATATACAGTGGGGCAAAAAAGTATTTAGTCAGCCACCGATTGTGCAAGTTCCCCCACCTAAAATGATGACAGAGGTCAGTAATTTGCACCAGAGGTACACTTCAACTGTGAGAGACAGAATGTGAAAAAAAATCCATGAATCCACATGGTAGGATTTGTAAAGAATTTATTCGTAAATCAGGGTGGAAAATAAGTATTTGGTCAATAACAAAAATACAACTCAATACTTTGTAACATAACCTTTGTTGGCAATAACAGAGGTCAAATGTTTACTATAGGTCTTTACCAGGTTTGCACACACAGTAGCTGGTATTTTGGCCCATTCCTCCATGCAGATCTTCTCGAGAGCAGTGATGTTTTGGGGCTGTCCCCGAGCAACACGGACTTTCAACTCCCGCCACAGATTTTCTATGGGGTTGAGGTCTGGAGACTGGCTAGGCCACTCCAGGACTTTCAAATGCTTCTTACGGAGCCACTCCTTTGTTGCCCGGGCGGTGTGTTTTGGATCATTGTCATGTTGGAAGACCCAGCCTCGTTTCATCTTCAAAGTTCTCACTGATGGAAGGAGGTTTTGGCTCAAAATCTCACGATACATGGCCCCATTCATTCTGTCCTTAACACGGATCAGTCCTCCTGTCCCCTTGGCAGAAAAACAGCCCCATAGCATGATGTTTCCACCCCCATGCTTCACAGTAGGTATGGTGTTCTTGGGATGCAACTCAGTATTCTTCTTCCTCCAAACACGACGAGTTGAGTTTATACCAAAAAGTTCTACTTTGGTTTCATCTGACCACATGACATTCTCCCAATCCTCTGCTGTATCATCCATGTGCTCTCTGGCAAACTTCAGACGGGCCTGGACATGCACTGGCTTCAGCAGCAGAACACGTCTGGCACTGCGGGATTTGATTCCCTGCCGTTGTAGTGTGTTACTGATGGTGACCTTTGTTACTTTGGTCCCAGCTCTCTGCAGGTCATTCACCAGGTCCCCCCGTGTGGTTCTGGGATCTTTGCTCACCGTTCTCATGATCATTTGACCCCACGGGATGAGATCTTGCGTGGAGCCCCAGATCGAGGGAGATTATCAGTGGTCTTGTATGTCTTCCATTTTCTGATGATTGCTCCCACAGTTGATTTTTTCACACCAAGCTGCTTGCCTATTGTAGATTCACTCTTCCCAGTCTGGTGCAGGTCTACAATACTTTTCCTGGTGTCCTTCGAAAGCTCTTTGGTCTTGGCCATCGCGGAGTTTGGAGTCTGACTGTTTGAGGCTGTGGACAGGTGTCTTTTATACAGATGATGAGTTCAAACAGGTGCCATTCATACAGGTAACGAGTGGGGGACAGAAAAGCTTCTTACAGAAGACGTTACAGGTCTGTGAGAGCCAGAGATTTTCCTTGTTTGAGGTGACCAAATACTTATTTTCCACCCTGATTTACGAATAAATTCTTTACAAATCCTACCATGTGAATTCATGGATTTTTTTTCACATTCTGTCTCTCACAGTTGAAGTGTACCTCTGGTGCAAATTACTGACCTCTGTCATCATTTTAAGTGGGGGAACTTGCACAATCGGTGGCTGACTAAATACTTTTTTGCCCCACTGTATATCAAGAACTTACTTGCGTGGCTATGAATGCAAGTCAATACCATTTTGGCCTTATTAAGGACTGTGAAATTCTAGCTATTGTCTGTTACACAGAAAGTGGATTTTAGAAAGTGCTCTGAAAACACCTGAATGCTCTAAAAACAAAGAGAAGCTTGTTTTTAAATCTTTTTCAGAATGGATTGCATTACTTTCCCCACGGGGCTGTCAGCTGAATTCAGCTCAAAGTGTAGCAGCTCTGCGTTCAGTCTTTATTACTGCATATCGTAGAGCACATCAAGGCTCCAGACTAATGTTCAATTTTTTCCCTCCCCACATCAGTAAACGTAAAAGAGTATTCACAGTGTCTTATCATGTTCAAATAATCAGCCTTTACTTGTCATGAAGTTGTTGCTGTGGCACATTCTAAACTATTTGTTCTGATGATTGCAAACAGTTAAGAAAAACCACATGGTGAACAACCATCCAGCTTTTCTCCTTCAGAAGGTGAGTACCAAAGGGCTGAAGATGAGTGTGGCTGATAAATGAGAAGCGAATGAGTCCCACACTTTCCCACACTTTTTGCTTTTCTCAGACTGCAACATCCTCAACTTGTGTCTTATTCCACCCACGAGAAATGTGAGCAGAGGAGTGGAGGCAATATGAATTTAACAGAATGAGAACATATTTGCCTCTGCGCCTCAGTTAAAGAGGGCATGTGGTGCAGCTTCATCATAAATTGGTTTGTTACTGCCCACCTACTGATGTATGCTACGATCTCAGATGTAACAGCGCTCATGACATGGTACCATTTAGGACTTAGTTAAATTGAGAAGGGTGCAACAAGACCAAATGTGAAATCATACACACAAGAGCAAAAAGTCTGATTAGCAGCTTCCCCTGTATGCCTGTTCTCTATGCTCTCCACACGAATTTTAAGAATTCAAACATTTTTCAGTATGGTGGAAAAAGACCGATTTCCTGGTCACTGGCAGGAGGATAGAGGACAGAAGAGACAAGGAGGCATAATTTAGAGAACTCAGAGGACTTTAGGCTTTACTTGGGCAGCCAACCCAAGTATATTATTAATTCTTCCCGCCTTGTGGTTTCCCTAAGAGCTCACCAGCTAGCTACTCTGGCAATCCATGATATTACTGACCTTCCACCAGCTCCAATCCAAGATAGTGGAGTTGGAGTTCATCCACAGGGTGAGAGACAGCTGATTGCATTGTTCAGGTATTTATGGCCACAAAGTACTTCACAAATATTTCCACAGGAGAATTTATTAACTGTGTTATTCAATAACTCATTTAAGAAAATGTGTGCAAAGAAAGGAGTCACAAATGTGAACACAGGGTTGCTTAATTATGGGTTTTTTTGGTCAGTAAGACTATAGATATTCATCACGATCACTCAAAAGGAAGGGATTTATTAAATAAGAAAAGAGTTGTTTAACTAGATTTCCTATGAACCCGGACCTCGTGCATGTGTACAAGTGGCATATAAAATGTTTTATCTTCATCTTTCTTTAACTTTTATTATACCTTACCCAACAAAAGGTAAATAAACTAAACCAAACATACTGCAGCATGGCAGGGATTTTTATTAAGGGGCAAAATTCAAGGAAAGAGATGTGTTGAAGGCCAAAAGACAAAATTATTTCAAAGTAGAAGCAGCACAAATATTGTTTAGGCTGAAAATCAAATTCATTTATTGCATAGCCCTGTGTACAGACCCCTTGCAGCTCATATAGTTATATTTTTTTGCATATCATATATTTTTACTGTATTTCTCATATGCTGTCTTTATACATTTATTATTCCTTTAAATGATCACTTATTTCTCTATTTTATATGAGCATTTTTTGCAGCTGTTGTGGACAGCAAAGGAAAAATTCAGTTGTACAGGGAAACATGTTGGGAAATATTTTGTTATAAGCAGATATTTTGTGCATATGACAATAACACTTTGAAACTTCAATGTGAGAAACACTGACAGTGGTGAGTTTATTTTTAACCAGTGGAATGCATTCATATTTACTGAGGTTCATATCCCGACCAACCTAAGCTGCTGACCACTCTAACCATACGTGACCCGACTCCCTTCTACCCCCCTTCCACAAAATATCATGAAGCTAAAATAGAATACTAAACTGCTTTAACAGAGCAGCCAGCAGCAGCCTGCGTCACCCATATATGATAGCAGAAGTGAGTAGCAAGTAAGACTATTTGACTGCACAATGAG